CTCTCAAGAGTCTCCTCCAGCACCATAATTCAAAAGCATCAACTCTTCAGCGATCAGCCTTCTTTATGGTCCAGCTCTCACTTACATCACTACTGGTTCTTAAACAATAGAAAACTGCAAGACTTCAGCATAGTTGTGATTGAGCAACAGACAGCTGTCACTCCAAACCAACCCCCCCCCTTTCTCAATGAAAGCTAGCAGCAAAAAGAAAAGCTCTCCTCCTTTCCCTTTGTGTGACTGCTGTCAATCATTGAAACACACGGCACAGTTATACGCAAAGTAATGAAGCACAAGGTTAGTGCATGGAATTTTGGTCGTAATTTGGACAATGAGGGAAACTCTCAATTTAGTACTCAAATCAATGGCTACTAGCAGGGTGGGACGCGGGTGGCGCTGTGGGTAAAAGCCTCAGTGCCTAGGGCTTGCCGATTGAAAGGTCGGCGGTTCGAATCCCCGCGGCAGGGTGCGCTCCTGTTGTTCGGTCCCAGCACCTGCCAACCTAGCAGTTCGAAAGCACCCCCGGGTGCAAGTAGATAAATAGGGACCGCTTACTAGCGGGAAGGTAAACGGCGTTTCCGTGTGCGGCTCTGGCTCGCCAGAGCAGCGATGTCACGCTGGCCACGTGACCCGGAAGTGTCTCCGGACAGCGCTGGCCCCCGGCCTCTTGAGTGAGATGGGCACACAACCCTAGAGTCTGTCAAGACTGGCCCGTACGGGCAGGGGTACCTTTACCTTTACTAGCAGGGCTGGCTCAACATGCTGGAACCCTAGACAAACCACAAAATGCTTGCCCTTCACCTGTCTGTGAAGAAGGGTAGCCGTGTTGGTCTGCTGTAGTCGAGACAAAATTTAAAAATTCCTTCCGGTAGCACCTTAGAGACCAACTAAGTTTGTTATTGGTATGAGCTTTCGTGTGCATGCACACTGATATAACAACACAAAAGCTCATACCAATAACAAACTTGGTTGGTCTCTAAAGTGCTACTGGAATAAAAAAAATTTATTGTGAAGAAGGGGTAAGTGAAGATCTACATCGGGCACAAGCAGGGAATAAACCTCTACATTGGGAACAAGGGTGGGAGGAGAACTATTGGCCAAGAGGCCACTGCAGAGGCAGCATGCCGGGCAGATTTGGCCTCCAAGGAGAGCACCGCTGGATCTGCTGCCCCCTGCCTCACTTTGCCTCATGGGTGGCTTGGCCAATGGAGGCCATGCTCTGTCTACATGAGAAAGCAGCGCTTCTGAGAATACCAGTTGCAGGGAACAACAGGAAGGGAGTGTGCCCTTGTGCTCAAATTTTGCTTGCAGCTTCCCGTAGGGCAGGTGTTAAGTTGTGGGTGAACATATCAGGCGACACAGCGATTCTTCAAACAGCTCTTGTTTATTCACAGGCCAGAACAGAACTGAACTGAAGGGTTCAACCAGCCTGCCTATATAGAGCTCCACTACAACGCAACAGTAACAACTTTCTGTAACTATCCAATCACTGAACGTCACTTTCAATTCCTTATTTGCATATGTGGACCTGAGTGAAAACTATCTACAGTATCCCCCTGCTGGCCCAGGGTGAGAATTTCAGTACATAACAGCAGGCATGTCCAAAGTCTGTTTCTGGGGCCTAATCCAGCCAACCGGTCGGTTTAATCCAGCCCCTGTGGCAGTTTATTCCCTAGGGTAAAATCCAAAAACAAAACCAAAAAACTCAACAACTTCAGTCCTAAAAAACAACTTCAGTTGGTCATTTGGTCAGCGCCCATGGCCCTTCACTTCATCCAATCTGGCCCTCTGAAAAAAGTTTGGACACCACTGCCATAGGGGTATCTGGTTGGCCAATGTGAGTACAGGATCAGAGGATCATAGAATCGTATAAATTGGATGGAATCCCAATTGTCACCTAGTCCAACCCTCTTCAATGCAGGATGCTGGACTAGTTGGGCCGTTGGTCTGATCCAGAAGGCAGTTTTTATCTTTCCTGAAAACTACAGGGGAGGGTTTTTTGTTTGCATGGGGTGAGTGCAGCAGCAAACGCACACCAGCTTCATCCACACCACACCTATAACCTGCAGCATTAACAATGGCCGCCATTACACGGTTGTCGTAACCATGCCCACCCCAGCTCCAACACTCCTTCCTCCCAACATCTGTAATATTAAAGGTGGAGCCAGAGTGGGGGGGATTTTAAGAGCTAGGAACAAGTTTGATGCATTAGCCAGGCAGAATGGAGGGCAGGTGGCTGAGTAAAAGAAAGGTAATCTGGGCCTGGACTGGAAGCGCTGCAAATGTTCTGCAAATTGTCTGAAAGCAAAATATACCTGCTATGCATAGGAAACGAAATTATCCTGCATATATTATGCTAATGATATTTTGTGAGTCATTGTATGTATAAAGACAAGCAAATGTTTATTTAAATATTTTAAATACCTTAAGGTCCATAAATAGCAACACCCTAGAGCAGTGTTTCCCAACCGGTGTTCCGCGGCACACTAGTGTGCCGCGACACGTTGCCTGGTGTGCCGTGGGAGGGAGGCGGGCGAGTCGGGCGGCGAGAGGCGGGGCGGCGGCGGCGAGGAGAGGCCGCCCAGCGTGGGGCTCTCGCCGTCTGCCTGCCTGGCTGCCTGCGTGGCGCTGACGTCACGGGGCTGTAACGTGCCCCACATAGGCACGCTTAGACCCTGGCTAGGAAGCGCCTTTGCCCTTGCCTTTTGCTCTCCTTACTTCCAGAAAGCTGGGCTGGTCGCCCGCTCCTCTCGGCGGCGGGAAGTGGTGCCGCTGGGAGCTCCGGGAGGCGGCGGAGGGGGCGCCGTGGGCCGGGAAGCCCCTCTCGTCGGGGCCGGCAGGCGGCTGCCGCTGCTGCTACGGGTGCTGTACAGCCTGGTGCTGGCGATGCCTTCGGAGCCGCCGCCGCCTCCGCTGCTGCACGGGAACTCCTTGAGCGAGCGGCTCAGCTGCTTGCCTTTGCTGCGGAAAACCTCGCGCTTGTAGGTGCCGCTGGCTTGCGGCGTCGGCGCCGCGCTCTTGGGCAGCGGCTGCAGCGTGCGCTCCGTCCTGCCGGGCTCGTTGGTGAAGTGGACGGGCCTCAGGAAGCAGATGTCGATGCTGGACTCGGACGAGGCCGGCGAGCACGCTTCGAAGGCGGGCAGGTTCCGCAGCGGCTCCACCTCCTCGTAAGGGTCGCCCCGGTACTCGAAGCCCTCGTAGTCCGGCGCGAAGCCGGAACTGTCCTGCAGGAGGTCCGCCGCCGAGGACCGCCGACGGGGCCGCTCGCGGTTGCCGTCGGGGCCCGTCGAAGGAGGCGCGCTGCTGCCGCCGTACTCCAGGTCCGGGAGGGCGTGCAGGGAGGCGGCCAGAGCTTTCAGGTCGTGCTCGCTGAGCTGAGAGGGCGCCAGGTCGTGCTCGGGCCGCCGCCCGTCCGTTTCCCACTCGCAAGGGGAAGCGCCTTGCAGGCCGTCGAGGCCTTGCTGGGGGCTCGCTTTCATGTGGGACCTCGAGTGCCTTGGAAGGGAGACCAATCAGTGTCGGATTTAGGTATAAGCTAAACAAGCTATAGCTTACCATTACCTTCTATGCTGTTACTATTTTTTTTTTTTTTTTTTTACATAGGTAAAAAGTGACCTTTCCCCATCTGGCATGGTGGTGTGCCTCGAGATTTTTTTCATGAAACAAGTGTGGCTTTGCCCAAAAAAGGTTGGGAAACACTGCCCTAGAGGTCCCAGGCCCTAAGGAAGTCAGATTAGCCTCAACCAGAGCCAGGGCCTTTTCAACACTGGCTCCAGCCTGGTGGAATGCTCTGTCCCATGAGACCAGGGCCCTGCAGGATTTAACTTCCTTCCGCAAGGCCTGTAAGACAGAGCTATTCTGCCTGGCTTTCAATTTGAACTTTCAATTTGAATCTTTTATTCCCCTTCCTTCCCTCCCCCTCCCCTTTTTATGAAGATCACCCACTCTGAGACCCCACAGCAAATTCTCCCCTGGTCTCTTCACTGGCCCAAATAGGACTAATTTAGCCAGCTAGCCCTGGTGATCATCTAATGTTTATTGGATGAATTTCCCCCCTAAATTGATTTTTTAATTCTGAATTTATTGTTATTCACGTTTTATGCTGTTTTTTGTTGCATCAATTAAGTGTTTTAAATTTGCTGTTAGCTGCCCAGAGCCCGGTTTTCTGAACCGGGAAGGGCAGTGTATAAATAAAAAATTATTATTATTATTATTGCTGCCTCCAGCCATAAGGGAAGAGCGTATCCATCCTGGCGAGTTTTTGATGACCCTCTGCCGCACGAATCACAGCCTCCAGTGGGCGGCAGTTCCACAGTTTCACCTCCTTCTGCGTGCCACGCCCCCTCTGAATTCAATAAGGGGAGAATGGACTGATATTGACTATTGTATTTTATTTGACTATTGTATTTTAGTGTTCTGTTGGAAGCCGCCCAGAGGGGCTGGGGAAACCCAGACAGATGGGCGGGGTATAAATAATAAATTATTATTATTATTATTATTATTATTATTATTATTATTATTATTATTATTATTATTATTATTATTATTATTATTATTATTATTATTATTATTATATATGCAAACCTGCACAATCTCTAGCCATATATACCCCCCATTGCTTGTGCATACAAAGCGTGTATTTTAAAGGGGCAGAATTATCTTGGGGGAGGGGGAGTGGCGGCGCATGCGCGCGGCGGCCCTTTCCCCTCCCCGGCCGCCCATTCGAGAGGGGGGCGGGGCCTCTCCTCTTCCCGGCGCCTGCGCGCTGCGTGTGTATCTGGCGTCACAAGATGGCGGCGGCCATGCCTGGCTCCTTCTGAGGGGCTGAGGGCGCAGGGAGGAGGAGGCTGCTCCGGGGCCGCCGCGCCCGCCCACCACCCGCCGCCCCCCCCGGCCCGCTCTCTCTCTCGGGGGCCGGCGGAAGCAGCCTCGGGAGGGGCGGCGGCGCCTGGCGCTGCGCGGAGAGGGAGGCCTCGCCTGCGGGCGGCGGAGGCAGGCCCGGCCCGGGCCCCGGAGGCCTCGGCCAGGGGCGGCATGGAGGGCGCCGGCGGCGGCGTGGCGGGCGGGGGCAGCAACGTGCCCGCCTTCCTCACCAAGCTGTGGACCCTCGTGGAGGACCCGGAGACGGACCCGCTCATCTGCTGGAGCCCGGTGAGGGAGGGGAGTCGGGCGGGGGGTCTCGGGGGGGGCGCCCTCCTCCCCTCCCCGCCCCACGGATCGCAGCCCGGCGGAGGCTCCCCGAGGCCTTCGCTCACGGGCTGCGGCGGACCTGAAGCCGCCTCCCGCCCAGCCAGACCCTTCGCCCATCGGCCCCGCTATTGCCGGCCCTGGCTGGCAGCAGCAGCGGCGGCTCCCCAGGCTGTGGGGCAGGAGAGGCCGGGGGGCTTGAACCCGGGACGTCCTCCTTGCGAGGCGGAGGCTGAGCCGCCTTCTTCCGCCCCTGCCCGACTCTTCGGTCTCTGGGCTCCGGAGCCATCGGCCCCCGGCCCTCCCAGCTCGTCTCTTGCGGCTGGGACTGGTGCGCAGGAGATGCGCCGCTTCCTGCGTCGGGACCTTCGCCGGTGCCCCGTGCAATCCCCTGGCAGGGCTGCCTGGCGTTTCCAGATGAAGGAAGGGAGCGCGTGGTGTTACCTGGAAACTTGTTTTACTGTTTTGGCTTCGTGTATAGTTGGGCCTTGTTGTCCCGGAGAAACTCTCAGTGTTTGGGTCATGGACAATGGGAATGGAAATCTCTGGCCATCCAGACTTCATTAAACTGTAGCTTTGGTCAGCAGCTGTGCTGTTTGGGGTGAGGGAATTTGGAGTTCCGCAACACAGGAAAAGCCACAGGTCCCCCGTCCCTGTCGGAATGGGTTTGGGCTATAGAATCAATATAAAGTGCGAGTTTATTGGCTGTTGCCGAGTACCGTTACGTGGCTAATGCTACTTTACATCTTTCACTCGAATTTTGCACTAGCGTTTCTGAATTTCACCTTACAGGGTTTCTGAGAATGAAGTTTTGCACATTCAGAAGATGCCATGGTAATATGCAGTACAGTTTCAAGTTTTCCAATATGAATAATAATAATAATAAATTTTATTTATATCCCGCCCTCCCCAGCCGAAGCTGGGCTCAGGGCGGCTAACAACACTCAAAATAGTCTGACATTCTAAAAACATTCATTATAAAATTAATTAAATCAAATTAAAATCAAATTAATGGCAACCATCAAGCAAAATTCTGTGCAGATTGCCAGAGGAGGGAGTCAGGCTGCGCCCTGACCAAAGGCCTGGTGGAACAGCTCTGTCTTGCAGGCCCTGCGGAAAGATGTCAAGTCCCGCAGGGCCCTGGTCTCTTGTGACAGAGTGTTCCACCAGATTGGAGCCGCGGCCGAGAAAGCCCTGGCTCTAGCTGAGGCCAGCCTAACCTCTCTGTGGCCTGGGATCTTTAGGATGTTTTTATTTGCAGACCGTAAATTTCTCTGTGGGACATACCGGAGAGGCGGTCCCGTAGGTACGAGGGTCCTAGGCCGTATAGGGCTTTAAAGGTTAAAACCAGCACCTTAAACCTGATCCTGTACTCCACCGGGAGCCAGTGCAGCTGGTATAGCACCGGGTGAATGTGATCTCGCAGCGAAGACTAGAATCATAGAATTATAGAGTTGGAAAGGACTCCAAGGGTTAACTAGTCCAACTCTCAACTAAAGCATCTATTATATATGGCCATCCAAATGCTGCTTAAAAATCTCCAAGGACAGCCTAGCATCTCCCAAACAAGTTTCTTTCTCTAAACAGCTCTTGCCATCAGAAAGTTTTTCCTGGTGATTTGTCAGAATCTCCTTTCTTGTAGCTTAAAGCCATTGGTTCAGGTTCTATCCTCCAGATCAGGAGAAAACAAGCTGGGTCCATCTTCCACATGACAGACCTTCAAGATGCTTGAAGATAGCTATCACAGTGTTTCCCAACCGGTGTTCCGCGGCACACTACTGTGCCGTGAGACATTGGCTGGTGTGCCGTGGGAGGGAGGCGGGCGAGTCGGGCGGTGAGAGGCGGCGGCGGCGAGGATCCGCGTCGAGCCGGGGGCGGCTCCGCGGTGGTGGTGCCGAGCGGCGGGGCAGCGCGTGCAAAAGGGAGGAGCGCGAGACAGCGGAGGAGGAGGAGGCCGGCATGTCCGGGCAGCAGCAGCAGCAACTCCCGGCGACGGCTCCTCAAGCCCCGCCGCCGCCCCCTCCTCCGCCCGCTATCGCCGCCACCACAACAGCCGCCGCCGCCTCAGTTGCCGCCGTCCCTCAGTCCCTCGCTCTGCTGCCTCCTCCCACCCCCAAAGCTTGGAGGTTCCCCGGCAAGGGGGAGGGAAAAAACTTTCACTTTCGTGCGTCCCTCCCGGCGTGACGCTGCGCGCTGACGTCATGGGGCGGGGCTTTAATGGTGGTGTGCCGCGAGATTTTTTTTCAGTAAACAGGTGTGCCGTGGCCCAAAACAGTTTGGGAAACACTGAGCTATCATATCTCCTCTCAATTCTCTTTTCCAACCTAAACATACTCAGCTCCCTCAACCACTTCTCATAAGGCTTGGTTTCCACACCCTTGATCATGTTGGTTGCCATCGGCACACGTTCCAGCATGTCAATATCCTTTTTAAATTGCTGTGCCCAGAGCTAGGCACATTATTTCAGGTGTGGTCTGACGAACACAGAATAGAGCAGTACTATTGCTTCCCTTGACCTGGACATTATACTTCTCTTGATGCAGCCTAGAAGACAGTCTTGGCTGGAAACTTTCCGCTGGCCTAGGAGCCCATGCTGACCAGTGGCCACAATCTGCAGGCAGTGTCCACATTCTGGTTGCTCCCTGGTGCTGTGCCATTCTGGCTACAGAGATCAGTATTTCTTTACAGTAATTCTGGCCCCTGCCAACAGGCCACACTTAGTGGTCCTTTCCTGCCTCTTCCCTACCATTGTAGCCATTGATTTCCCATATCCTTTGCTGGTTTTGTCATCTTCTCCTTGCCCCCTTGCTCTTTCTACCACATTGTTCCTGTTTGCCTTTTTTTTCTAGACCATTTGTGACCTTTTCCAATCACATAACCTCCAGTTTGTATTTAGTTGTCTTTTTCAGTGTCAAGGTTGTGGTCAGAATTCCAAGCATTGTGGTTCCAGCACAGCTGAGTGAAGCTGGTCACTAGTTTTCGTGGGAATGTTTATGTCTCTTGCAGCGAGATTCAGTATCTGTTCTCCAGATTGTTCAGCTTGAATGCCAGGAGGTCTAGAGGAGAACGCATAACACTGACCTCTTTGCTTCTTCTCAATTCTCTAAGGTGAAAGTGTGTAGTTAGATTCCCCCTCTCCCCCCACGGACATTCCTTTCCTACCGAAAGACATATTGGGAATTCCTGTCGTAAGGAGCACTTGCCTGAGTCTTAGCAAGAGGGCCACTGGGTGGCAAAGGGTGCTTCTTGTGCCCAGCTTATTCTGTTTCAGAGGCAGTGACCCAGTGCAGAACGCTTCTATGTAAAGAAATGAAACAGGAATATCCACAGTGTTCCACCCCATGGGAATACAGGCTTCCCTCAAACAAAGTTTTGTTGACTTTGCACATCAATCTGTGCATGTGTTTCGTTTGTTCTGAGGTATGTGTAGTTAGCACTGCAACCTTAGCTCTTTAAACTTTTTGTGTCATCTCAGGTGTTGATTTAGGTTGAAGTCCTTGAGAGCAGGAAAGCAAAGCCTCTCATTCTTTTCTTCTGTACTCTTGAGGGGTTTCTGAAGTAAGCATCAACCTAATGAGAATGAACAGCAGCTTAATTCAATACAGCGGGAAGTAATTCATGGAGTCCCAATTATAGGATTGAAAATGTTGGTTTTATACAGCCATGTTCTCATTAACATGAGGAAATAGTTGCTTGAAGAGGAGGGCAAATCCCACTCTTCTCTGTAAGTAAAAATAAAATACTATTGCTGGGAGAGAATCACGGGCAGCAGCCTGTCTCTGAACCTCAGTTGCTGGGGAACAATAGCAGGAGTGTTGCATTGTGTTGAGGTCTTACTTCTAGGCTTCTAAGAAGGGGCGCCTGGTTGCCTGCAGTGGTAACCAAATGGTGGATTACAGGTGAAACTCGGAAAATTAGAATATCATGGAAAAGTTCATTTATTTCAGTAATTCAACTTAAAAAGTGGAACTAATATATGAGATAGACTCATGACATGCAAAGCGAGATACGTCAAGCCTTTATTTGTTATAATTGTGATGATTATTTCATACAGCTGATGAAAACCCCAAATTAACAATCTCAGAAAATTAGAATATTAAATGATACCAGCAAAACAAGGATTGCAAATAGAGCAGTATTGGACCTCTGAGAAGCAGAAGCATGCATATGTACTCAGTACTTGGTTTGGGCCCCTTTTGCATCAATTACTGCCTCAATGCGGCGTGGCATGGATGCTATCAGCCTGTGGCACTGCTGAGGTGTTATGGAAGACCAGGATGCTTCAATAGCAGCCTTCAGTTCTTCTGCATTGCTCGGTCTCATGTCTCTCATCTGTCTCTTGGCAATGCCCCATAGATTCTCTATGGGGTTCAGGTCAGGCGAGTTTGCTGGCCAATCAAGCACAGTAATGCCATGGGCATTGAACCAGGTTTTGGTACTTTTGGCAGTGTGGACAGGTGCCAAAGTCCGGCGGGAAAATGAAGTCAGCATCCCCATAAAGCTCGTCTGCAGAAGGAAGCATGAAGTGCTCCAAAATCTCCTGGTAGACGGCTGCGTTGACCCTGGACTTAGTGAAGCACAGTGGACCAACACCAGCTGATGACATGGCTCCCCAAATCAACACAGACTGTGGAAACTTCACATTGGACTTCAAGCATCTGGCATTGTGTGCCTCCCCATTCTTCTTCCAGACTCTGGATCCTTGGTTTCCAAATGAGATGCAAAAGTTGCTCTCATCAGAAAAGAGATTTGGGGAGCCATGTCATCAGCTGGTTTTGGTACATTTTCGAGCACAATGCAAAGTGTCAGTGCTGACCTTTAAAGCATTAAATGGCCTTGGCCCAGTACAGTGGTACCTCGGGTTACATACGCTTCAGGTTACAGACTTGGCTAACCCAGAAATAGTACCTTGGGTTAAGAACTTTGCTTCAGAATGAGAACAGAAATCGTGCTGCGGCGCAGCA